GAAATTTCATATAGCCAAAGTTTATCTTTATCTTGAAGCACAGCTGCAAAAGTGCATAAACGCTTACACGCACGCGCCGTATAACGCGCGTAGAAAGGAACAAGCATACACCTGGCAAGAAAGAGGAGGACACAGTGTGTGTCCCTCGAACAAGTGTAGATACAGACTCGGACTTGACACCGTTGCTTTATTCCTTTTATGGCATGATTATGGAGTCCATTATCGCAGAAACTGGTTGGCAGTAAAGCGTACCGCGACGAGTTATCCATTGAAATGCGTCAAGGTTGTCGCAGCATACCCACCAGTATATACACCCAGTATAGGTCTACAATATATTTCATGTGGCTTCGAGTTGGCATGATCTTTTGTGATAAGATCGGTCAGGGAAAAATCTATGTACAAATAGTCACTCGCTTCTAAATAATAAAATATTTTTCCTAAGCTAATTTTTCATATAAAATTTCACGAAGAATGGTAATTTTTGATGCTAGTTTTCGACGCTAAGAAAAATTGCAAAAATTGCTAACAACCAAATTGTGATCTTTTCTTTTTCTTTTTCTTTTTTCTTTTTTTTTTAGTATCGATCAAAGCTACCTGTACATAGAGAAATTTATCCGAACGAAAGGGCAGCACCATTTTCTTCCCTGTGTCTACATGCTCTCTTTTTCTCTACCAGCTTCATCCCAATGGGGATGAAATTGTGTACAGGCGGATGCAGTTGGTAACCCATGCAAACATCCATCGCCACCCCCAAAGCCGATCTTAAAGCTCCTTCCACGACTAAAGCAGTCGACTACCTTTCAAAGTACCGCAATCTTCATCTTCTTCAGCTTCTTCTTCTTTTTCTTCTTTCCCTTTTTTTCCAAAAATACATAGACGTCTCCTACCTGCGTAGATTAACTAACAAACATTCCTACAATGTTTTTCAATTCTGCTACCTTTCCGATTATTTCAAATCGTAAATTCATAGATGATCAGACTATTCCTGTTTGAAACTTTCCAAGCTAATTTTGGATAGAACTGCAAGCCTTTATAAATTGCCTGAAAATAATTATAAGAAAATTCTGGTAAGAAATGTTATTTGAAAAACAAAAGTTTAATATTGAAATATAATACTGTCATCGTTGCTGTAGTATAAATGATAAAAGCGATAACCGAGGAGGAAGAATCGTCGAGAGAGAAAATCCATTTTCGAGGGAAAGTTCGGAATTATTTATCGCAATTCGATCGCAGAGGGACGTGTTGCGATATTTTTCCTCGATGCAGTTTGCAGCTGTTTGTGCTTGCAGGTCGAAAAGTCGGTGCGAAGGGTGCCACTGAATGTCGGCTGTAAAAAATGACAGAGAAAGGAGAAAGAGTCGGCAAAAAAGAGAGGAAAAACCAGAGGAGGGGGCAGGAAGGGGACAGGGAGGATGTCGCACCGGAAATACCGGCAACACATGCTTCTCCAACTTCCTGTCGTGTAGGTGGTTTTACTCCGAAGAGTTGGTATGTTTCGATAAAATGTCATTTTCATTCTCTTTGATCAATTTCACGGATCTTTGCGTATAAAAAGAAAGGGGATTAAAAAAAGAAAAAAGAGACAAATAAAATATAAACTATTTGAACTGTTCTAATTTTCGATCAAATTCGTGATCAAATTCGTGATCAAATTCGTGATCAAACTCGTCCTCCCTTAAACACACCCCGTTGATTCTGGTACCTGATCTAAACACAGCCAACTGAAGCATATATTCTAGATTGGCCGTAACACACATGTATATATATAATTAATTTAGTTCTTTTCATGTTATAAGAATAAAAAGAAGATAGCGAGTTGTCGAGACGAACGGGGACAGGTTTTCCAAGCGAGTTTCCAGTTTCGATTTACAGAAGAGATCGTCGCGAGAGATATTGCTTTCAACCAGCTGTAGTATCCAGTTTAGTAGGATGAAGGCGAGCGCGTATAGGTATATGGAGCATGAGCAACTCTTTTTAACTTCCAAGTAACTATACTTACACACATTCGTTTATACATATGCATATGCAAAATATATTTGTTTTTCCCAAGCCATTTATTGTAATTTTAACGACAGTCAAATAATTATGAAATAAATTTATCGCGTTATCTACCACGCGTACCATTTTCGATACACTGAAATTCATTTCTACGCCAAATGATATTTTTCTCATTAAAACATAAAGAGGTGAACAACGATTGTTGATATCAATTTGATATTATCTGCAACGATGTTTGAAACACTTTAATTATAATTAATAATAATTATTACTGTTCGATATATAGACGAAAAGATAAATTGTCACGAGCACAAACGCGCAGTATCTGGTATTAAATAATGAAAAGCAATAAAATCGATGATATCGATTGAAAAACGTGCAATTTTATTCCTTCTCGATATTAGTTAACCCTAACACTGGCGACACGAGGTTGCACGTATTGCATACTCTCTAAAAGTAAAATAGAAAAATAGAAAGGTTGTCGGCAAAGGTCCCTGGAGTATCATCGAACCTCCCCCTGTGTTCTGTTAGAAATTTCGCATGGTTTTCGAAGATTGCTTCCGAATGATAATTCTCCCGACCATTGGTCTATAGTATGGAGGAGGTGGGGGAGAAAGGGAGTCGGAACAAGGCAACGTTCATGTGTGAGAGAAAGAAAAGTATATAGACTGGTACCAAGTACATGCTCTGCAGCAGCTGCTGCATCACCTGCCAGGCAGCTGGTTTGACCAGCCACATTGGTACTACCAACCAACCAGCCAACAACCACTTCGAATCCGGCTCGACTCAACTCGGTCTTCGACTGCGCTGCCTCCTCAAATTCGGACTTTGATCTAGATCTAGAATAGACATGTATAAGTATTTATACGTGTGCAATACCGAGCGCAAACTTTTCCAAACTTTTGCTTCTTGCGATTACTTATCCGCGATGCAATTCGACGTCAATTAAAAATCATTTTAAATCCACTTTTATCATTTGTAGACAAATTTAACATTCAATATTTTCAAGTTTTATACTTATTCATAAAATAGTTATGAAATATTTCACGAGATATCGCATCCATGATAATTATAAAATAAAATTGCGGAAAAAAAATAAACTGCACACGTGAGAGAGCATATTATAACTTCTAACAATTTCCTTTCTTTCCTCGTTTTACCTCAGATCTATGCTTGAATCAAAAGACGGAAATACGGAAGTGAATACTAAGAAAGAGAGAAAAAGAGAAAGAGAGATACACTTAGATGCTTGTGAAATTTACACCGGCGGCTTGTTTGGAGTCAATGCTAGGACCTTGCACTCAGAAACTGTGCATGGCTTGCATATGCACGTATGCATGCATGCATCTATCTATCTATCTGTCTATCTATCTATCCGTCTATCTATGTATGTATGTATATGTCTATGAACGACACAAGCCATGCACAAACTGTTAACTCGATGCACGTGCAACATAAGAGTAAGCGAGATAGCAGAAGAAAGAGACAGAGAACGAAACGGTAGCGTTATCATTATCATTCAACGAATCGTTAAGATAAAACTTGAAACGTTCCTCGATAATAATTATGTCTTTCTCGATAAAAAACTTATCCTTTATTTTGATAATTAACGCGTTTACTGCCACGTCGATCGTCGATGATAGGAGCACCTCAAATATTTCATTAATTAGAATAAAATAAATATCGATGAATAAAACAAATTCAACGTTTCTAATAATTGTTTATCGAAAAGGTGCACAAAAGAAAAATAGATTTTGTTTGTTTCGCTGTTTGTGTGTTAAAAAGATTATTGAACAGTCCGAGCTCTATTTGGGTTGTTCTTCAAGTTATATTCTCTCCTTGATGTCAATGGCATCCGCCCACGCAGATGTCTCCGACAAAGGACCAACTCGTGTACGCTTTATGCACGCGCACGCGTGCACGTGTGCCCCGCGAATGCGACCAGGAGATAAAAGCGGTGACGAGGACGAGGACGAGGACGAGACGACTCTTTGTTCTCTACGCGTATCGACGCGTAACTTCGGCTACAATCGGCTAGATACGAACGCGCCAAATTTCACTTTAATTTTTTTCTATTCTAACCTTCAGAAATGTTCAAATCTAGGATTTTATATGCATGCACATTTATTTTATTATAAATAATCATTTTCGTGAAATTGCTATCTAAATGAATATGAATATTTTGAAATGTGTACAAGTATGAAATAGAAGGTGATTTGTTAAACACATTTATCGAAAAATATAATCGACTCAGAGAAGGCGCTCAATCTAGTCACGTTTTCTCTTTATCTCGCGAGGTCGCGGTTGCCATGGCAATGTAGCCTGTACTCTCCTAGCCACCCATCGTCTTCTCATCCACCTTCCCACCGATTACTCCAACTCCACCCTGGTCTCTCTGCTACGTCACAAGCAACCCTCCGAAAGCTCTTCGAGATACGATCGAATCAGTTTACTCTATCTGTCTTTTTTTTTTTTTCTTATTTTTCTCTCCGCTTTTTTCGTTAATCTTCCGAAAATTTTTCTTCCTCCTTTATCGAATCATTTTTAGAAAAAAAGAAAGAAAGGAAAGGAAAGAAAAGGATCCTAAAAGCATCGATCATTCCAGTCATATATTTCAAATACGTTTTTCAAATTGCGTTTCAGTTGAGGAAATCAACTGGAAGAATGCCAACGTGAAAGTTACAAAAATTGACAAAACGTACCTAAGAGAAATGTTTACTTATTAGATTTGATAAGGTCCGAGAGCAACAGCCAAACCAAATACCGAAGAATACTATTTGGAAAGGTATTTAAGATAAAAGCAATAACGGTAATTATTTATAGGCGACAGCTTGTGCATCAGTGAAGCGATTTGGACCGTAAGAAAGGCTATGAAAAAAGAATAATTGTTTGTTTGGAGAATCGGCGCGCGCGCGTAAATCTATCGAACATCTAGAGGGTGCTTCTGAAGGAAAAATAATCGTAGATCGTAGTAAATAATAGTAAAAATCTGTGAGACTTACCAGACGACACCGAAGGCGCCGTAGCCGATGGGTCTGTCGGGTTGGACGGGATCCTGCGCGGGCGGCGGCGGTGGGGGTGGCGCGGGTGCGGCGGGGTGATAATAGGTGGGGGTCGGTTGGTTCACCGCCGCGGCGGCAGCGGCGGCCGCGGCCGCGAGGACCGCCTGGCCCGGGTGGGCCCCGGGCCCCGTCGTCCCGCCTCCACCTGTCGTCCCCGCCCCGCCCCCCTGCATCAGCGACATAGACACGCTCATGGACACCCGGGAGTGCCGGCTGGGCCCAACTACTGCCATCAAAGCTCTTCACCCCCTCCCCCTCCTGCTCCACCGCCACCACCTTCACCACCTCCACCCTCGGCGACCGCCACCCGCCTGCCCCTCCTCCTCCTCCTTCCTCTTCTGCCGCCACCTCCTCCTCCTCCTCCACCTCTTCTTCTCAACCGACGGGCCACCGTGCCGCTATTCACTCTACCGAGAAGACCTCTACGCGACGTCGCCGACGCGTTCTTCCTCCTCCTCCTCCTCCTCCTCCTCCTCCTCCTCCTCCTCGCCCTCGCCCTCGCCCTCTTCACCCCTCGAACGAAGCACGTGGTGCGAGCCTCACCTCGCAAGGACGTTCTCTCTCACAAAGGAATCTTCTCCCGCATCTTTCGTCTCTCTTCGTCTTCGTCCTCTTCCTCGGTCTCCTTCTTTCTTCTCTACTAGCAGGGTCTTTCACTCCAGATCACCGTGTTTCCCTCCTTTCTTTTCGATAACATTCGTTATTCCCCTATTAATTAATTTCATTTGAAAATCTCCCGTAGATCAGCGCGACCCCATCGCGGTTTAATCGTTTATTTTCTTCTCTCTCCCTTCTCTGTCTCTTTCTATTTCACTTGACTTGGAGGTTATGTTACATGACATGTACATAGACACACGCGTCAATCGGTGTTAAGCGATCACCGTGGATCTTCCGAAATGGTCATTCGTCGTTTTTCAGCGACACCATAGATGCGAGAAAAAGAGATAATGCTACTTACACGTTTAATGGAACGCATAAACGTTGATATAGAGGAGGACAAAATGTGAGATAATCCAACTATTGGAAACGCGGAACGACAAGTCCGCAAATTCGCGACAGTGTTCTTGATTTCGATTCGTTTTCTTCAACGGTTACGACAATTATTCCTACTGTACTGCTACTGCACTGCTATTGCACTGCTACTGTAGTATTGGCTAATTATAAAAGATAGGACGAAGAGAATAAATGAAGAATATCAGAGCACGTTTATGACAGTCGTGTTGCTGTCTGTTATGTTGTATTGCGTTGCACGCGCGCACTAACCACATACACAGATTCACACTGATACATATATAATACATATATACATAAACACACGCGAAGAGACAAAGATAATGCGAGAGAGAAAGAGAGAAAGCACAGAACGAGCGCGCGCGCCCGCGCCCGTTTATGAGAAAAGGGCGATGACGGAAGGTACACACACGGGAGGAAATAAATAGTAAAAAAAAAAGAAAGAAAATAAGTGACAACGTGGGAGACGGAGATAAATCTATGGGATTTATGATTACCGGAAAAGGAAGAGAATGTTAACCAGGGAGACGGAAAAAGAAATAATAAAGAGAGAGTCTCTCGTGGTAGACGCGGTGGAGAGAGTGATTTACGCGGGATAAACGAAACACACGCCTTTTCGCAGCCGATGCCCGCTAACCACTGAACGTGGCGGGGCCGAAACGTAGCGCCGACAGCGCCGGGGCCCAACCATAACGCCGACGGTCATGTGACCCCTCCCCCCATAAATGCGCACGCATTCGATCGACGGCGCGCCATCTTTGTTCTCCAATTTCAAATACCTCTTTTTTCATTCATTTCTTTCCTTTTTTTTTTTTTTTCATCTAGAAACAAAGAATATTTTCCTTATCTTTATCTTTCTTTGACTATCATTTTCTACTTTACCTGAATAATCTTTATTTATTATTCATATCTTTTCTCATTTAAGTTAACTAAATTTCTATTTTTTCTTTGATCACCGTTCATATCCTATCCTAAATAAATAAATAATAATCTCGTAAAGCTTAGGTCAAAATATAATACACGGGGACAAAGCTTCTTATGGGATAATATTGGATGATAAAGGGCAAATTGAAAATAACGATGATGCAAGTTTTGTAAATATTTACATGATTATCGATATAATTTCCAGAGATGTATTTTTAGATCGACGATGACGCTCTCGTGTCGTCATTTTCTTTTCTTCCTTCTTTCTTTCTTTCTTTTTTTCTTCCTTGCTATCTTTCCCCGTTGGTACGACGCGTATACACTTAGAAAACATAATCTATACCTAATCGTTTCATTTTCCAACGAAACGGCCGATTTATACAAAGCGTATATAATCTCTCTTCCTTTTTCTTTTTCTTTATCTTTTTCTTTTTCTCTTTCTTTCTCTTTCTCTCTCTCGCTTTCTTTAATTATATACATATATGTATATATATATATCATATATATATATATATCATAGTGATCATAAAAAAATTTTAGATCTATTGTTTCAGATTATTCGTGGTTCGTATTACATAGACCGATAATCAAAAATAGTTATTTAAATAAAACTTATTAAATACAAAGATCGAATCTGAACTCTCGTTTTCTATCTGAACAATTTTTTCTTACAATTTCCAACAAATATTTTATTAAAAATCGATCACGTATTCCTCTTATTACGTAAAACGTTTCTCTATTCACTGTATTGTACAAAATAGCATCATTTCCAAATATTATTACATATAGTACGAACTTTCGAAATCAAATAAATTTCAATAAATATATCGATCTTTATATATTAAAGTATAACAATATTTTCTCTATATATAAATATTTAACACATTGTTCATGATTGCGATTACAATCATATTTTTAATATCTTTTTCCAACGTTATATTAAATGTGAATAGAGAAATCGAAAATGTTGCTGCTAAATTATAATTAATAGTAATAATAGTAATAATAGTAATAATAGTAATAATAATATATATATACATATGCATATATTTTGATACGGATATTACGTAGGAAAATATGCAAGCGCAGAACTCGTATTTCTAAGCGCTAAATAGATTTATATATTTTATCTTTGGTCTTACTGAACTTCCCACGTAAGTCTCCCCCCATTGATTCCATTATCCAAAAAATCGAAATACGAAATGTATCATACTGTGTCCTATGTACGTATGTATGTATATATGTGTATAGTATCATAAAAAATTCATTAATATCGCGTCTAATCAATCTCAATGAAATAACAAAAGAGAGGAGAATTCGTATAGGAAATTCAGTGTACAAAACATTGCCGATTTCATTCACAACGACGACACCATCGTATTAAACCGCACAACGCGTTTTATATAATTCGCAATATTCTTTTCAAAAATTTGTACAAAAATTTATCGAGAAAATAGCTCTCTTCAAAATAGAGCGTCTGCCGTATTTTTTCTTTTCTTTTCTTTTCTTTTCTTTTTGTTTTAGATTTTATCTTCTCTTCTTATTTTTTTATTTATTTATATTATGTTTTCCTCATTCTCCTTAAACTCTTATTCTCACAAAATTGTTTCATACGTTCATATAATATATATATATATATATCTTCTTTCTCACTTGCTCAATGATTAACATTTATTGTATGTATACGAATATGCAAACCACTTCCATAATAATGCCATTATTTTTTACTACCATTTGACTAAAAAGCGAACGATTAATAATTGTAAGCTCGTATAAGGTACACATGAATCACGCCTGGAATTGTCCTAGAAATCGCATCGCTTTTCAACTAATTATACACAATCGAGAAGAAACACAATAGGTTGATTATAAAAAAAAAACATATAGTAATTAATCATAATCGCTTAAACTAAATATCGCATGAGTCTAGTACACGTAATATATATAGATTTATAAAGGAACAACGCAAGATAATATGCACCAGATTTGCATGTCGGCTTATCTACCCTTACTCTTCTTTTTCTACGTTGCTTATCAATAATGGAAAGATATGTGCAATCGGCAAACAATAAGAAAAAAGAACAAAAATAGAAATTAACTAAGAAATCTTCATAGTATTTTTTGTTTGTTTCATTTTCTCTTAAATATCATAAGAAATATTTGTGCAAATAATTATTCTAAAGGAGTTATAATTCTAGCAACTTATTAGGCTTAAGACTATATACGTGTATATGTTTTACTGTACATTTTCGTTCATTCTTCGATTTTCAATTGTAATATGTATATATATATATATATATGTATTTTTTGTAGATACTTATAGGTCATGTTATATATTGAAACATGGGGTAAATCAGTTAGGCACCGCTCGATCACTTTCGATTTTCGCTCCGCGTCTCGAGTTAGTTCCCTGATGATTGTTACTACCAATAATTCGTAGATTAATTAAGAAAGTTCGAAACCGGTGTTACTGGTAACAGCATAACGTAACTTTTCACGAAGTGTACTTTTTTTCTGGTAATTTGGTAGCTTCAATAAATTGAAACAAGTTGAAGAAGTAGGCAACCGAATTTGAGGATCCTTTTTACGTATCGTAAAAAATCCTCGTATCACACTGCCTAATTAATTAAAATAATTCAATAAATTATTATAGAATTGAAATAACAAAAAGTTGAGATTTGTAAGAGGGCAAAAAAGTGGATGAACGTACCAATTGTATCGCCTGTATCCTCGTCATCGCCAACTTCAACGCAACGTATGGAAAATCGTGGTTCCAAATGAGCAAAGCCCAGCAACGGTGATTTTGAACAGCTTGTGACGAACTATTATTTATATAAAAAACACATTGTTATAAATTTATAAAAATTGATATTGTTTATTAGAAAAGGATTTGATATTATCGTTGAAAATGTACCTTTAAAAATAAGCCTCTTTCTTCCTCCGTAAAATCTTTCTCAAGGATGTCCCATAACCAGCACACTACTCTATGACTATCATGGAAACCACCATAATATTGCGTGTGTCTACGTAGATCGCGTAGATCTAATGGGACGTTGTCACCCGATATTAATCTTTGCAGCTGAAAGAATAAACATACACGAATATATTTCCATGAGAAATATGAAATATATTCTGTTATATATTTCAATTCCTTCTCTTACTTCAGGAGTTGAAAATAATGACAACCAATCAGGATTGATTATAGAACAAAATCCTTTGATAAAAGCAGCCGTTTGTTCCTTGATTTGCGTGTGCATACGAAAATGTGCCATTCGATGTATATAACGAATCTTATTTTGATTAGTAACTGCCTCGGCACGTCCACCAGGTATCAACTCGTGAGTTACTAATTTTCCCATCACATCTTCGTCCAAAGAAAAAGTCAACTCTAATTGTCTGATATCACCTTTGTAATGCTTCACTAAAGTTAGACTACGATAGAGATCACGATCCAACGAAGCTAACTCGTCTAAACAATTATACAATGTTCCTCCTGCTTGCCCAGAAAATTGGGAAACAAAAAATGACGCGAACGGAACATCTACGACGATTCCCTAAAAATTTAACCTGATAAATTAGGTGTCTTTCACACAAAAAACTGATATTTACCGTATCTGTTTTATTTTTTTAATCTAAAATCAATAAGAAATATTTAGAAATAATTTACCTCGTAAACAGCCTTGCCTAGCATTCGTCCAACGAATTCAAATAATTGTAAATGATTGTCCTGCATCGAGGACGTTGGAGAAGGGTAAAGACGATTTTCGCTAGTAGCTTTAAACAAATTCAAAGACGGATCAAAAACTCTTTTAATCGTTTCTTCCAAAAATTCTTTGAATACACCATCCTGATCTATTCCAGCTTCTGCCAGACCCTGTTCATTCACGAAACGTACTCTGATTACACCTTTCAGAGCTTGAGGAGGTAACATTGCTAACTGCCGATAGCCATCCTCTACTATACGCGTTCTATCAAATATTTTCATTCAATTAACCCATTTTTACAATCATTTATACATGCAATAACAACTCTTGAAATATTTAACAACCTGTGAACAACTATTAGCGTAGTTGGTGGGCTATTACAAGCACTCTCAGTTAAACCCATAACTGCTTTCTCGTTGGCAACATGTTTTCGAAATAAAACCACTCGTTCGGAGTGCGGTATAACGTGGGGCATTTTTGAAAGCAAAAGTGCTGCACCACCTCTCCTTTTTTCTAAATCCGCTAAGAAACCAGAAACTCGTACCTCCTATTTTGTAAAAAAAAAAAAAAAACATCAAAAAAGAAAATAATTCATACTAATAAAATGAATATCTCATGATTCGTTTATACATTATATACTTAACTTCGCCAACCAATGTCCATCTGGACAAAAAGGTCTTCTGCAATCCCGGCGGTAAATAGCCATTAAAAGTGTATGTAGTGATGTAAATAACGGATTGTTAGACACTGTTTTCACATCTGTAACATCTAAAAACTTTAGCACGTAGATACACGCAACTTGTCTTTCTTAAATAAGAACAAATATCTTATTGGCAATCATTTACATGGAAATTTTGATTACTTACCAAATAGATTAATAAGAACAGCTTTGTATAAAAATTGATTTAAAAAAAATGACATTGTTATAAAGTCCGACAATTTAAAAGGATCTTGCTGCTCGTACATCTCCATATCATCTAATATGCTAAAAAAAAATTAATAACACGTGTCGTTATTTTAATATAATTTAATTATGAAATAAATAATAGTATACTCACGTAACGTAATGAGTCATACAATCACAAAATAATATCAACATTTGAAATTCTGGTGCAGTACATTTCGTATTCGCTGCTAAATGATCCAGAAACGCTTTTAAGCCACAGTGTGGCCCCAATGTTCCCAAAAATAACCACATATGATACAAAATTTTATCTTGATAACAAAGCCCTACAAAACAATAAATATATAGTGAATGTATAAATAATTGTTTGTAAAATATTATACCTGTTAATATGTCTTGTTTCATTTGTGTAAGCGTATGTAGAGCAGTTTGATACATGGAACAAATCAGGGCAATTTTGGTACATTCAGGACTCCCTAATTTTCTATAATTTTTATTGCTATTATTTCTATTTGTGCGTGCTTCCAAAAATGCTCGACGGAAAATATTAGTACTTAAAGATGTGCTCTGTTGTTCCAACTGCGGTGGTGATTCCTTACCAACTAGTTCAGTTAATGGTTGGCCTTTAAACAGAAAATCAAGATAATAATAGTATTATTATTAAATATTTTTGACATTTATACATGTTCATTGGAATAAATTGTAGCTTACCAATTAACTGTAAAACAATTCTGCCGGTCCATAGGCAAGCTAATTGCGATGTCACGTAAGGAATAGCTTCTTGTAAAGGAGTATCAACCGATTGGGCAAACCAACCGAGAATTGGATGCCAATGAGTTATGTTACTCTGTTTGGCTACAACGTACTGTTGACATGCTTCTAGCATTTTTGTAACAACGAACTATAAATAATAATAACATATTTAAATTAAAATTGATAATACAAATATTGGTACTGTTCGATTATGTCTCACCGTAAAAGAAGGAAAATACGAATCTCTCAGGACTTCTTCTCTTTCGATATTGGCTAATTGTATTAAATTGGATAATAGACAGAGTGCATAACTACCCTCCAATGCATTAAAAACTATCCTCAAATTTTGTTCCGAATTTAATAATTCCAAACTTCTCGCAAATAAATTGTGCATAATAAAGGATGAAATGCACTGAAAGATTGCATCAGCATGACTATGTATATTTACGACATAGATGTAATTTTTTATCGTTGTTTTTTTTAAAGAAATAGATATAAGATAAGAAGATGATTATACCTCTGGACATAACATGTTCAAGTGATAAACTAAAGCAGGGACACTAAAAATATTAATTAAAAATAGCGATACTAATTTATCTGACATTTGTGAAGATATCAATGGTCTTAAAGTTAATGTCACAGCTGCGGAGAGTGCAACTGATATCGATGAAACTTCTGCTCTACCTAATCCTTTTACTAGTAACGTCTACAACATAAAAAGTAATTTGTTATTAATATTCATACCTAAAGACTATTAAATTGAGGAAGTTTTTATAAATGGTTACCTGCATAATAGCATAAAAGCCATTATTGACAAGATGCCCCATTATGTTAGCACATAACTGGCTCATACCAGGTCTCAGTTTCTCCATACCCTCTACTTTTAATATCGCCCATGATGCCGGTGATGTAAAACTAACTAATGTGTATAATCTCAATAGGATGGACGTATGGTCAGAACTTATTTCAGGTTTAAGGCTGTCCAAGCCAATGAGACAATGATTTAAAATAGTTTTCATTTGCAATATCCATGATATGTAGTGATCCTTGTTAAGGGCAACACCTACGTATGAGAATTTAGGAGATTCTGAATGTAGAGTTTGCACAAGGTATCTAAAAAAGAAAAAACAAATGATTAATAAAACGAAACAAACTCTGTATCATTCTCTAAGAATCTCTTGATATTATATCAAATAATTATATTACCTATACAATATATTTGTCTCTGTATACACACCTACATAATTTTTCTATACGCTCTTGATCCCTTTCCTTCTTATAAATAATCAAAAATCTAGAAGTAACCCTGTATATATGCAATGCAAGCTGCAACTCTATGTTCGCATCGAGCTTTGTACAATCATCAGGAAAATTGATATCGAATTCCTCTCTAAAAGTAGAACACGCTTAAATTATGGGTATTAATTGGATATCATCGATATGACAATTAATGTCATGTGTTAATATTAAGTATTGATAAACCATATAGATATACATATATATATATATATATATATATATACAACAGATAACATTGGAATGTACAACAGATAACATTGAAAGAATACAGTAACAATTAATGGAATGATATTAACTCACAAAATCTTTTTGGTAAATCTTATCCGAGCCAACCATCCTCTAACATAAGCTTGAATAACAGTGACAGCAGCTTCCCTGTCCTTTTCATGAGCTCTTTCTTCTCTCGCTGCTTTAGTTTGCTGAAGGAAGCTGCCTCGAGAGGATTCCTCGGCTTTGAACATTTTCGAATAACCGCGAGTAGCAGATGATCACAATGAATTATGGTAATTAAAAAACATTGTCAGCTGGTCATTGATGATCCACCAGTCGATACCCGCGAATCTTAAGTTTATTAAATAATCATCGTCTGTCACAATTCCTATTAACTCGTAATATTTACAAATTGATTAATACGAAAAACTGATTAAAATTATCGATCGTAAAGGAACTGTCATTCGGTACATAATCTGCGAAAGTTTTCCACTGACAGCCAACCACAACGGCCATTGTTGTTAATTCGATTCAAGCTTCACTATCGAGGAGGACAAAGGAATGTATTAGGTTAGTTTATCGGTAGACGATGACTACTAGCGCCACCTGTGCCATTATGTTCATTTTTTTAAAACGAACACTTCTTTTCTTTTCATTTCTCCTTTTTGTTGTACACGGAAAAAAAAATTAAAAAATAAAATGAATCTTGTATAAAAATTTTATTGTGTTTTTTTATGATCAATTTGATTTCCTTCTCTTTCTTCGTTTCCTTTTCTTTTTTACATTATATAAAAACAAACACTTTTTCTTGAACATCCTAATAAATTTTATCTTTTCAATTATATTGTCCTTTAATTCATTAATTAATTAATTACTTCCAAAAGAAGTCAACTGTTATGTATTTATATATATACATATATATATACATATATATATATATATATATATATAGATATAATAGGAAAAAAAATGATGATAAAAATACATTTCGTGGTTTCCTCGTAATGTGATCCTCCTCGTTGAAGATTTANTATATAGATATAATCGTATTTAGTTTTGAATTTTTTTTAGTTGAATTATTTTTGTATATAAGAGAAATGCATATTAAATTAAGAAATATAATCTAAATTAATGGGACGATCTCTATATAAGAACAAAATATTGTCAATATAAGCCTTAATAAAACTGATATAGAGAAATAATGTTATATAAGTCCTACATAGTTCTTAAAATAATTGTCACATTCCTATAAAGTTGATTTAAGGGAGACCATAAAGTTTTAATGTTCTATCCATACTAGTGGATGCTATGTACTGTGCGTGTTTTCCAAAACGTACACCTGTTGCCGTTGCTGTATGATCGTTCAATACTTTCAACTCTTGCCATTGTTTACACAAATATACTCTGTAAAAAAAATAGAAAAATAAAAAATAAAAAATACAAATACAACTAACGCGTCAGGCGTTAAGAATTGTGTTATTATGAAATATATAACAAAAACTTACCTAACATCCGTTCCAGCTACGGCCAAATAAGTACCACTTTGGTCAAAGCAAATATCTTTAACTTCATATGCTTCCTCCAATTGCAGCGTTTTGAAATTTTTCAATTTTCGTAAATCCCACAATTTGACGCAAGAATCCTCAGCAGCCGTCGCCAAATAATAACCATTTTCCGAAAAACTAATAGCTGTGATTGGGCCTGAATGACCAGGAAAATTAGCCACGTTCGATTGCTCCTTCAAATCCCAAATTTTCACTTGGGAATCAGCAGTACCGGTACCAAAAATTAATCCATCTGGATGAAATTGTGCTGTTGTTAATGGCTGACTAGTTTGACCAGCCACCTAGAGAATTACAATAATATCAATGTTATTTATTCAATCGAATTGATTGTATTCTATTGTTTTATTGAACATTTAAATGATAAGAACCTTAGTTAATAATCTTCCAGTACGAATATCAGAAAATGCCCAATGTTGATCTAATGATGAACTTAGCAGATAATCTCCAGTTGGATGTAATGACAATCCAGTTACAGGAGCATCATGAGCCTTGAGTAATAAAGTTGTTTGACTTGTAGCGACATTCCATACTCTGATTGTAGTATCAGGTGATGCAGTCATTACTATATCTTCCTCAGGATGATAAATTACTCTAGTAACCTACAATTTTTGTACATTAAACAATATTATAATAAATATAAATACATATAAATATGAGAAGGAATATGCAATAAAGTACCTTCTTAGTATGGCCTTTTAGGATAGCGACAACCTGTTCCGTATCTTTATTAAATACAGTTGCATTTTTATCAGCACCACCAGTTAAAATTTTGCTTGTATCTGCACCGTGGATATCCAAAGCCAAAATTCCAGGTACACTAGCAGAATGGAGACCCTGAAACGAGAGAGAGTATAAGACACATTCATACATGTATGTGAGAAAATAAAAAATATATAATATCATACAGGATGAGATGCAAGTGTTTGAAATGTTCGAATGCTATCCTGGGGAAGAAGATCTTCAGGAACTGAACGTCCACGGCGTTTTCTTTCCTGTGTAAGAACAGTTGCTCTTTCTTGTAATTTTTGGATGACATCTTCGGTAATACCGGCTTGTTCCATTGGCTGAGCAGCTGTTCCACCAGCTTCGACTGCCACAGCCTGTTATTTAATAATGTATTATTTTTCTTTAATATATACACACAATTTGTATATTTATTTCCATGATTTCAGTAACATACCGGTTGTGGAATAACTGTTGCCTGAACAATTCCAGCTTGCGGTTTAAGAGTAGCCAAAGCCTCTCTGGCGGCTGTAACTTCTTTAGTTAATCTAGCGATTACTCTGCAAGCTGCATCGTGTTGATACAAAGCGTGGGACAACTCTTGTCTAGCTGTTTGTAACTGTTGTCTAAGAGTGAACGAATGCAGCATAACTGCGTCCCATTCATCTTGTAATATTTTCAATATAGCTGGAATCGATGTGGCACTAGGTGGTTTAGGTTTAACAATTGGAGTAGCTGCAAATAATAAAATAATATAAGAATGATAAATATACAATATAATGAATAAAATTCTATCAATTAACACATACTTTTAACATCAATCAATTGTTCTATGGTTAACTCTTTGCCAGTGATGGGATCCACTCCATTTTCAGCAACATACTTCTCGATGAGACGTTTTTCAAATATAGAACCAGATACCGGAGATAATACAGGGTGTTCTGGCACTTCATTGGAAACTGTGTAAATACATTTTTATTTTATTACAATACAATAAAGCGCGGTCTTTTTAGGTTATGTTCATATTTTTATCGGCTTAAGGATTACGCTAATTAATTGGAAATTTATTTCCGATATCACGTATCGTTTCATTCGAAAACGATTGTATTGAAATTGTTATTGTTCGAACATAGTTAATATATAAAGTCGTAAATAAAAATACAAATAAAAATAAGAAAAACTTACTCGCACAAGAGAGCGCCATTTTTTCGACATAAGAGTTCGATCAACTACGTACGACTTTTGCGCCTTGACGAACTAGAGATATCAATTTTATTTATTTCGTTATTATTAACTATATATTATTTATTATAAATATCCTTTATAATATATTATATATTATTATTTAATTAAATAAACACGAATTATTTAGAGTTTCATATATTAAAAGAAAAACGTCGTTTTTTTTACTAAAATTATAAACAATAGCTGCTTACTCTATTTGTAATTCTCTAAATATATTTTTCGTAATGATACGAAAACTATGAGATATTTTGTCATTTAAAGTAATTATTAGAACGTTTACAAATTTTATATTTTTTTATTATGACGTAAACAACAATTGGAAATAATTTTTATGAATATAAATTGAAAGAATAGATAATTAAATTTTATTACATAATAAATGTAATAGAATTTTTAAAAATAATTTGAATTTATTATTGCATCAAATTAACGTAATATCGATAAAGTTTTATTATAATGTTTAATTAAAAATATCGATTTTACAATAACAGGTAATAATTTAAAATTGTAATTATTATTATTTAAACATTATTCAAAGTTTAATATAAAGTAAAAGGAAAGAGAATTTAAAAATTCGTGTAATTTATCCGCGCAGAAAATCAGGAGTGCCTTACTTCCGTTTTCTTTGCACTCTAAAAATAAACATGGCACCTTCTACTGTCACTTTTATTTCCCTATTACTCTTAGTTGTTACTTTGGCTGCAGTCTCAGCTGAAACTAAGAAATATGCGTTTGCGACAGTCAAGGTATTCATATTTTTCTACAACATAAGAATAAGTAATTCATATGTGTCAAATATTATATTAATTATTAGACATATTTCTTATTTTGACATAGAGTTGTAGTGGATGTTCCTTGAACCGGCTTCCAGATGTCAAACAATTTATTTTCCAGGACGTACCACAATAGTATCCTTCGAAAATTAGTTAAGTAATTTAATAATTACTTAAGTAGTTATTAATTATATCATGTATCTTGCGTAATGTAAATTTCACTTATTTATTACTCTAAGTTTCATCATGTTTTTTATGCTAAAAATGCTGAAAGAACATTGATTAAAATATTATATAAAGTTATAATTATTAATATCCTTAATATCATAAACAGTAACAATGTTGAATTCAAACATATTCAGGGTGCAAATCCAGAACTTGTTCTTTATGATGAAAACGAGGAGGTACGTCGTAATTATATGATAGAAACATATTCATTTTCAATGACAAAATATTTGACATTTTTAAATAAATTATAGGAAATGGAGAGATTAAATTTATCAAGTCTTACACGTCAAGAGTGTAACGATTTACTTGTATCTAAAGGTTTCACAAAGTCTACTCCTCAAAAAGATGAAATCTAAGGCTTTCTAATTAGACATACACTTAAACTTTGACGCACATCAAAGAAATCGATATATCAATTTTAATTGCATTTGTAATTAAATACGATTAGGAAGCTTCTTACATATTTTGTTTAAGTTGAACAATAAACAAAATGTTTGAAATATTCTTCTTCAATAAATAAAATAATTTATCTCAATATAAATAGATCTATATATATATATGTATATATATAGAAAAATTAAAATAGAGTTTAGCAACAATATTAACTCTGCACTTAACTATTTAAAAGATTTTTCAATGCACAAAATAGCTATTTTTCATTGACACATTAACACGTAGGCAAGGGAAGCATATATTTTTTACCCTTGTGGAGCTACAACCTGTGATATGATTAATAGAACCATGACAACAAAATTGTTCAGTGTGACATTTTATTGGAACGATATTTTATCGATTTTATTAATTCGTTTTATTAGAACATAGTCAAAAACGAACAAACGTAGGATATATAAATCGTATATTTATGCAAGTTTATCAATAATACGATTAACCATTTGAGTTTCAGGCAATGTGATCGTACTGTTCATATTAGTAGTAAAAAAGTGCCAAGTTATTAAAACGCAATGTGCAATTGATACGTAATAACCCCTTTGGCATTTGTTGACACGATTTTTCTATAAATGCAATTCAATGCATTCAAATTGGTTAAATAACTGCAATTCAAATGGTTAAATAACTTCAATGCAACAATTTTTTTCTTATAATTGATAAAATATTAAAAATAAATATATATATTGTTTATTGTTTTTGAGAATAATCAATGTAAGTAGTTTTAGTTAGACGGTAATCTTTATATAGAAACTTTTGAAATAACAATTGTTAAGAATAATTTGATGCAGAATTTACTATTTTGCAACTTTCACGTTGCTTTATCTGTATTACCTAATGATTAATAAACGAATTCAAAAAAATAAGATTTCGTGAATATAATAATTTTACTATTTCATTTTAAAACAAACTAAGTAATGTCATTAGGAGGTCTTAATAAAAAAAATAGGTAAGTCGTATTAGAGCGAACGTACACATGAATAATGTTTTGTAGTTCAACTTTTTGTTTATATTCATAATATATTACAATATTATATATGTGTAACCGTTGCATTTAATATTAATGGTCTTATATATATTGATAATATTGAACTATTCTAATGTAATCTTTATTTTATAGATTATATACAATCGCAATTCAATATAATTAATAGGACTATATATAGTCATGAAAGTTAGATTATTTCTGTTTAAATTTATATTCTAAGAAAAGATAAAAAGCAGATATTCGGAATGTACCACTGACTACAGTAGTACTTTTTTTTTTTTAAATTGCTTCACAATAGAATGTACTTTTAATATTAAACGCGCATATAAAGCATACAATGCCAAAAGCACATTCAGAATACTTTGACATATTAAATGAATAAGGAATCGAATAATATTTTGTAAATTAAAAGTAATCACATATACACGTAAAGATGTTGTCGAAAGAAATAAAATATTAGAGAAAACAAAAATTAAAAACTGCTTGGATAATTTTTGACAAACTTTTATATATACATATATA